AAAGAGTGTCGAACCTCGTTGGCGAAGCGGCAGCGGCAGGAGGGAGACATGGAGGAGGACCAGGGATTATGACGGCAAGCATGTTGGAAACGAGGTCAAAGGGGATGGGTGGATGGCCAAGGAAAGTGTACGAGCGAGCGGATATAAAATTTCACGATAACTCGGTTATGAAACTGCGTGTTTCGTTCGAACGGTGACCCTCTTCTCCTCTTTTCTCGTTTTTCACTATTTTTTTTCTTTTTTCCTCTGAATCGTTTCGAGCCTCGATCTTCGTGAGCGTGTTGTTCTCTTCCATGGATGCCACCCCTGGGACAAGTTTCTTCACGATTAGCGCGACAACGCGATGAGCCTGCAATTTTCTCCACGACGCGCCTTGACTTTTCAGTAACCTTCGGCAAATCTTAGAGTGGGGGAAAAAGACGAGAGAATAAGAGGCAACTGGTAATCATTGAGCATTCGATTCCACAGAATTCTTTGTACCATTTTGAGAAACGCTCTGGTGAGTTCGAGATAGGTTAGGCGTTCAAAGATAGGTTATGCGCGATGTTTTTGGGTCAGGATGATTCTAATTCAGGATTTTTAGTATAGATTTCAATTCGAATTTTAATCTTGAACATCTTATGAGAAATTTTTGGAATCAATTTTCAGCAAACTTCGAGGTCTTCTTGGAGACACTCTTGAACGGTCTTTAGTGACTGTTGATCTCGTTTTTGAGCCACTTTAAGCCATCTTTCTGAATTAATTGTGAGTCACTTTCAATATCACTTCTCAGCCATTCTTGAGCCATTTTCAGAATCAATACCACGTATTTTTAAATTGAGCAAGTCTTAACTTCTGACATATATGTATATTTAAATTAATTTATAATGGATTTCCAAGTTATTTTTTGGCCAATTATAATTTCATGAATTTTTATCTAGCTTCCTACGTTAATCTTAAATCAAATTTTAAACCTCCTTTAAGCAATTCCCTCCAGACGTCGTATTTTGCTCGATAAGTTTCCGTTCGATTTTCAAAAAATTTTTCAATGGAAAAAACCAGCAACCTCAGAAAATTCGACTCACCAAGCGAATCTATGGTAGACGTAAAAATGAAAATTTCCCTGCTACTTTGCTCGGAAGCACGAGCAACAAGCGCAGTATCCAAACCCAATCCCCCAATCGATAATCCGAAGTGTCTAGAAAACTTTGAAATTCGTATAATATTATCCCCAATTCCGACCATCGAGATGTTTCTTAGAAGATTCTAGCAATTCAAATCGAACCAGACTGAAACGACGAATGGAACGCTTTATCCCCAAGCGAATGCCTGGTGACTTTACGACGGGAATCGTTCGTATTTCACGTTCGATTGGCCTGGTTTCACCTTAGGACAGACTTGCAGCCAACGGTGTACAGGCATTGTAACGAGTCTTAAGTGCGGTCTTTGTAGCTCCATTAACGTCTCCGGCAAGTTTCGCATGACACTCTCTCATTCACTCGATTACGAAGCCGAAGCATAAACCGAGCCCTTTACAAAACGGGGCCGTAGCTGGGAACTGCCGCCATCGAGAACTACAATTCAGACAATTAATGCAGCTTTGCCGTGGCGAGTAACACCTTACCGCGAATTACACTCACGCCACTCGGAATTCCCACCACGACACCCGAATATCGCCACAGACTGCCCGCCATTTTTCCTCCACCGACCTCACCTCGCGTTTTTGCACGGCTCCGTTGCAATTTTCCGGTAATTTCTGTCATTTTTCGCTGGATATCTTTCACTTCCGTCGGGAAATGAAGCCGAGAAAAAGAAATTAACGGGTTCTATGTTCGCTGGGTCGTATACGACCCAGTCCGAACGTTCCTTTCGGATTTTTGTAGGTTATGGTACGTACCTTTCCTTTGCCTTAAATTATGGCAGGTTAAAATATCGCGAAACAGGAATTTCGTTGTGTTTTAGGAAGATAACGGAATAGTGGTGGGGATGGATTCGAAATATAGAATTTTAGTCGAATTATGCTAGATATAAGCATATATCTACTCTGCTCCATATTTTATAATCTTACATCGATCCCACTTTCCGTGGATATTTTACTGACAATTAAATTGCGAAACTACTAGGATAATTTGTGGAGAGAATTTTTGTTTTATTCTTTTCGATAATAATAATTTTTCCAGTCTTATAAATAGTTTGAGGCTAATATTTGTGTCGTAAGTGAAATTATTAGCTTTGATTAAACCACTAAAAATCAGTCTTGCAATTCGCGTCAAAATAAAGCCAAGAAGATTAATTATGCGAGTGCCAGGTGTCGAAGAATGTTAACGAACAGCGAGAATCAGTGCGATCATGTTTGTTTCGATTTCCGATTGAAAGTGTTAGGTAGATTGATCACTATTTGTTCGTCTTAAGTATCACTGAAACTGTGTTGGCGCTGCGGTAGAATTCTAGTGTAAAATCCTCGAGATCTCCCATCCAATATTAAAAACCAGTCACTGAACGAAATAATAAATATCCTATTAAACAACAGAGATTTGTAAAAATCAGTCTCGAAATTAAAAATTCTATTCTTCGTTAATATTACAGGAACTTAACTACACTTGTTCTTGGAACTAGTAACCAGAAACTTACTAGCCACCGGTACTAGAAACATCTTCGTAACCCAGATTGAATTCTAATCTCACCATGCACCATTTCTTATCAAATAAACGTTCAGCTGTATCGATTAGCTTCGCGAACTTGTTATTACTAGATTAATATTACACCAACGTGCTATTACTGATTAAATTAATCTGGTAAGTCAAACTCTAGTGGAATTCTTAGCCTAACCTAACCCAATTCGCAGCCTGCGAGTCAACTAAATTTCATTTTCCAAATTTTTCATCGACAGTGCGATTCGCTATTTGGAGGAGGAAGTAACTCGATGGAGGCTGATTTTTCGATGACGGCGAAAATGGATGGCTCGGTTTCACGAATACCTCGGTCTGCTGGATATTCCTAACGACATGGGGGATAGACAAAGTCGAAGGCAATTCAGTTTTTGCTGGCATGCAGAAGCTTTTCTTGCCAGCGACGAAACACGCGTCCGTGCAACGCGCCGACACGAGACGGGCGATATATGGCTACAGGGTGAATCAATACCGCGGGCCTTTGGAACAAATAGCAACATTCGCATTAATTGAACGTAATAGCCGCGGCTAAAATATTGATCAACGTTCTTCATCGCGACACGACGACGCTTGTTTCACGATCTTTCAGCGCGAGCCTCGCGAGCGCGCTCGATCGTCCGCTTCGAGATCGATCGCGATTGCTTATCGCGATGCATTATGCAATTCAGATTAATCTCTTTGTTATGATAAAATTGCGAGAGTTAGCACAGGCACTGAGGAAAGATTCGCCATAGTGATTTAACGATTAGACCGTTACTTGCATTGCGATTAAGCTGAATTTGGCATGAACGATTTTACGAGAAGATTTGTGTTGTTAAATGAGACGTTCATTCGTTTCGAATGTGAATAGTTTTTGAAAATGAGATGTATTATAATGATTCGTCTGTTTCAAAATCCATTTCGAGTATAATTCGTATTTTTCGATATGAATTTTTGTACAATGATAGGACTAGGAAGGCTATAGTTTTGAAAATGAGGGTTACTATAAGTGAGTGAGATTTACTATAATTCTACCACTATGAAAATTTTTTGAATAGTGATCTATAATTAGAGGTGTAATGCGAAGAAAAGATTCGTTCTAACTGTTAAATGACATGATTTTGCTCTCCCAAACCGACAACGAATATTTTTCCTACAATTCAGTTGAACTCTTTCATACTAATAAAATCAGCAGAATTATGAAAGGGACGAGTTGCAAAAGTGGACTGTTTGCTCTGGAATTGCGTGTAACTGCTTATCTCTCTTCGTGATAAGAAAGCAACGAGGACAACGACGGGAAGATTTGATATAGTAATTAAATGAGGCGACTGTCTGCTTCGAAACCGACCACGAATATTTATCCTGTAATTCAACTTAACTTCGTTATGATGATAACGAGAATTATGAGGAGAATTATGAAAGGAAGAAGCTAAAAAAAGGAAACTTGCTATAGTGATTAAGTGATAGGATTACCTGCCTCGAAACTGTGGATAATTACTTATCCTGTAACTCAGCTTAACGCCTTTATAATGATAAAACTGCGATTACTATGATAGACACGACTTGGAAAAAATATTACAGTGATTAATACTAGAATTACCACGCAGAAAAAGATATTCTTAATTGTTATAGTTATTGAAAACACGTAGTTGCTTCTGGCAAGATTAACATTGTTCCCATCTGCATTTTAATGAGTGCACTTGAATCATTGTTACTTATGTGTTTTAAAATTTAACACGATGGTATAATCACGAGAAGAAGAAATTGATTAGAAAGTAATTGTATATAGTGAGAAAATAATTAAACAACGAAGCTATGCAAAATTAAATGGTGAAAATACTAAAATAGGAGAGAGAAGGAACAAATGTCGATTTTAAGCAAGCTTGCATAATTTGTTGCAAATGCTGCAGCAGTAGAGGGAAAATCTCTTTGACTGATTATTCCAGAAATTTATCATTCCCTCTATGATGAGTGTCTTACAGCAGTGAACATAAAATATTACTCGATCCTGCAAAATTTTTCAAAATTCACCGACGTATATTTCTAATCTAACAAAGGCAACTAAAGCGAGTATTGCAGATTTCGGATGAATAATGGAAAGACTGACATGATGTTCATAGTAGACGTACAATTGTCTGGTTTCAGCGAGGATTCCAGACTCGTTGGAGATCGATGTTCATCCCCCACATTTATTCGCTTTGAGAACATAATATCCTAATAACGATGGATAAAAGTTTCTTGAAAACACGTGCTTGGATCAGGTTTGGGTCAGGTGAAAAATAAATAATAAATAACACACTTCAAACATAACAATAATTAATAAACAATAAATATTTAAAAGTAAACAAAAGTAAAGAAATATGAAATAAAAGAAAATGTAAAGCACCAAAAATAATTATTTATCAACGTATCTTCTAGAGTCACAAGATCACTCAACATCTTCCACTCAATCGCAATGAGTACCAATCAACAGCAACCTGCGAACCACAGCGCCACCCCTATGTACTGCGGAGACTGTGAAAACCCGTATCGCCTATCACATCTATCGTAAAGAATCCTGCTCGACCATTTAATTACCGTTCCAAGGGTCATAATCGTCTAGGGAACGGAAATGGAGCCAGGTCATACCTTGAGCAACAGGGGGTGCGACGCTCCCTTCTATGGGCGACACGGGGATCTGCATGGTGGTCGGTGATGGCGTGCTCCTTCCGCGACCCCAGCTCTCGAATCCTCTGGCAACGTTGCTTATGTACTTGTTGCACAAAGCCTTCTTCACCATGTAACAGCGCGGCATCTTGGCTGTTTCTTGCTGCTACTGAACTAATTAGAAACCCAAAAATCCAAATCTCTTCAACCCTCTTACACCCCTCGATTCTTCTGCCAAGATGCTCCTCGTCTATACGTTCTCTCACACACCGATCTAAACGATAACTAAACGACGAGAGATGTCCAAGATTTTCGCACCCTTTGCACCTGTCCCAGGAGAAGATTACTTTCTTCCTCGAGGAACGATACTACCTACAATTTGCTATTTCCGGACCACCGGATGGATGGTCTTTCCGCGCGAAGACGATCGTCGTTAATCACGAGATCGATCGTGGTCGTCGATTCGCCCAAAATGTCGAATCGGGCCCGGTGGTCTCCGCTGGAGGCCACCAGGATTGCGTTCGATTCGGCGACTGATGCTTGGGACTAACAGCTAGTTCCACGTCGACGATCGCATCTTGGTCACCTATCTAGTTCTCTTTATTAGCTAACCAAATTTTGTCGCGCGATCAGTACGTGTTCCAAGCGGGCTTTCGAGCGTCTCGAGAGGAATTAGCTGGACTAGAAGTAATTCTAGTGCAGCATCGATATCGACTCACTGTTGGTCAAACGGAACACTTGCGTGTGGCGGGCTTGGTCTACCGGAAACGTCGATTCCGATCCGGAGGTTGCCGCCTGGGGGCGGTATTTTAATTCTAGATGTCGTTGCACGTTTCGAAACGGAGTTACTAGTATGTATCTTACGCGTGTACGCGTCTGTGTATAGTACGTGTATAGATACACATATACGTGTATAGATTATATTAAAATATCTTTTCGGCGAAGCGAGTCAGTCGAACTCGAGGTTCATGTCCAGAGTGTCTGGAAATCGCGTGATATCCTCGACGAGGATACTCAGCTCCTCGCTTATGGTTCCAGGCGAGATCGTTCGGTTTGGCAGATAAACAAAATTCTTCTGTTCCTTAAGTCGCCTCTTTTCTTTCTTCTCTTAGATTCTCTTTGTTGCTTTACCTTGTTTGTAATATTGCTTTCGTTGTATTTACGGGTGGAAGATTATGAGATCGACTCCTCGATTCTCCTCTGTGGTCTACTCCTGCCCTGTTTCCCGCTTCCTGTCACCTCTGGCGCTCGTGTTCTTCCTCTCAATGAGTCTCCAGGTTATGCGCCGCATCGCAACTGGATTAAACGTTAACAACTGTTTGACTCCCTGGCAAAATATCCCTCAGTGTTCAGCAGTTGTTCAAAATCCACATATACGTCATGTCTCTCGATTCGCCGTGGTGTCGTAGCTAGACCTCGTGAAGCTCAACTCTCGCCACCTCGTCTGATCTCAAGCGCCTACTCCCCAGGTTGGTCCGAGCAGCGTTCCATTTCGCCGGTAACACTCTCGTGCGAGATCGTGATGGTCGGGCGTGTCCATTCTCGCGAAGATACCCTCATCTCGGCGATTTCGAGTGCGGTGAGTCGGGTAAATAATGGTCGGCCGCGTGTTCCCTGTTATCCGTTTACCACGCCGAGGTATCGTATCCCGAGAAATTTGAACGGAATCTTCAGTGGGATTCTTCTTTCAGGTAAAAATCACACCGGTCTATCAAAAGGTATCGAGTTCTTCACTGCCCAATGGATCGCAACAGTGTGGAACAAATCGGTGCACCTATGCAGCATCCAAGCGAGCGGATGAAGCCAGTCCTACCGAATCACGATCCCCGACAGCCAGAATAATAGGCGGAGCCGAGCAGTGGTAGGTTCTTCTAGCCGGAATTCAGACGGATAGGCTGAGCTTGAGGATCGAGTAAGTATCCAAGTCCTTTTTCGAAAAGCACCCGTGTGCGTCGTGGAGGCAGGCGAGGTGTGCCTTTTGCAGGGACGAGCAACAAGTTGGACAACAGGTCCGCGATGTTTGTGTATCCGTACGTGTGCGCTGTCGCCTTACGTGTGTAGTCGATAACTCCCTCTGGTAAGTGGTCCCCTCTCCTTTTCTCTCTTTCTCTCTATTTCTCCCGAGTGTCAGTAACTGGCCTTCCTCAGCAGGCAGAGGTAGCAACGATCCCTTGCACGACTTTGCACGACTTCTTCCTCGCCTTCTCTTCCACTGTTGGCGTCTGGTGTTCCACCGCGAGGAAACACCGCGCAAGGTGGTACCCGCGTGAAGCTACCACTCTGCCCTCGTGCGGCTGTTCGCGGGCCTCGTCGCAGCCTTGGATCGTCGGGGGCTGACGGCGACGAGCCACGTACGCGTTCGATGTTTCTTTGTTTCTCTATCACTGTCCCACCTGTGCACGGTCCTCTATGCTCCTCTCTCTACCGCCATTTTCGATAACGTAGAAATATTTCAGGTTCCGATAGGTTAGTGGCTGGTACGAAGTTCGGTTCGATATGACTGGGCTGCCTGTCCCGGGATTCCACGCGAGCGATGCACACGGAGAACGAGATTCGCACTGAACATTAACGCACACGATTGTATCGAAAGGCAATCACGTTCACGACGATCACGAGGAACGACAAGGGCATCGACTGCGAAGAGGGTTTAAACGGAGCAGCACGCAACTGGCACTACTCTCTACGGAGAGAGGCACGACATGGACGAGCAGCGGTTACGAGCACGACGCGCGCTTGGTCTAGTAGCGGGCAACAACAGTACGAGACTCGTCCATGGGCCCCGTGGTGTTGGACGACGAGGCACACCGGACGCCGTCTACGGGCACGAAGATCGAAGATGAAGATGTACCACCTGTGGGCGCAGAAGCAACAATTGTCCGCCGTGTATCGCGGTGGAGGGTAGCCCGACTACATGGCTCGTACCGGGTGTGGCTGGGGTGCAACTGCCAATGCAGCGTCGTCGAGCAGCGTCGCCCCGCGTCCTGGGCGCCTGCGTCCTTTCCTCCTCGCTTCGTGCAGCTCCTTCTCGCTTCCCTCCCCGACGGGCCTTCAGCCTGCCCGGTGTTGCCCTCTCTGTCCTCCCAGTCCTCTTCCACCCTCTACGATTCTCTTCTTCTTTATCTTATGTGCTGTTCGCTTCGCTCCGTCTCGTTTCGTCCACCCCGAGCGCGAGCAGTGTACGCCTCGCTCGCTCGTTGTCTCTCCCTTTCGCTTTTGCTCCGTTCCACCTCCAACGAGCTGCCACGCCGACACATATACACGTGCATGCACAGATATATACGTATATATATATACATGTATATACATTATACGTGTATATATGCGTATATAGACTATATATAAAGCTCGGCTGGCTGCGATCGAGGGGTTGGAACGAGCAGAGGAACGAGGAAGTTGAGCAAGAGAGTGAACCGGCAGGGGAAGCCCACCCCTCGCCGCGACGCCGATGTGGCTCTTGCCCATCGATTTTGTACGAGTTCGGGGCCGGAGCAACACCTGTTACCGCGTCGGATGGAAAAGAGTCGTGGACGGGGAGATAGGAGGGGGTGGTACAGAGAACAACGAGGGACCAACGGAGAGCTATGCGACCGGGGAGAAGCGCGGGGAGGTACGTGGCAAGAGACGGGGGTTGGTTTGCGAGGCTTCTGACGGGATAGAGAGGGAGCTAGCTGGTGGATGATGAGACAGAGCGAGCAGAATGGAGACAGTGGAAGCTCGACGAATAGAGGGTGACTACGCAGGATGGAAGGGGATAGGATTACAAGGATCATCGTGGGGGTGAGAGAGAAAGAGGCGAGGGTAAACAGAGACGGGGGTGGTTGTCGGGTGGCAAAGCAGGATGAACGAAGTAGAGGTGAGAACGTGGGTGGAAGAAAGACGGGGATAATGGAAGAGGGTGGCGAGTCGAGGCCAGGAGGAAGAGAGAAAGGAAACGTCGGCGGCGGGCAAATAGCGACGTCGAGGAAACGCCGACGCCAATCGATAGCGCCGACCCCGGCGTCGTGCCGCGTTCGCTGGCAGGGTTTTGCGATAGCGCATCGCTCATGTTACCTTTTCTCTTTCTCCCCGCACCCCCTCGCCTTCTCTCTTCCCCAATCATCCCTCTCACTCGTACATCTTTCATCCTTCTTCTTCCTCATTGCCAGCTTTCCGTCCTCTTTTCCTTTTGCTTTTTCCTCTCTGCCTTCGTTTCCACCCTCGCTCTATTTCTCCTTCCACCCTTCCATCTTTTCTTCCAGGCATTCTCTCGTCCTTTTCCTACTGCTCGTAACGTCCTCGTTGCTCCTACTTCCACCCTTCTTCCTTCCTTCTCAACCCTCTCTGTCCACGTGCTCGTGCAGGAGAGAGAGGATGCTGCGCGACTGTTACTCGTTTCCCGGCGATGGTTTGTATGCGTACCTTATAATCTCGACGCTTATTCTCGGACGTCGTCTAACCGCTCGTATCGTCTGCGTCGTTCGCGATAGCGCATCGCTCACTTCTCTACCCCTCCGTCCCTCTTCATCTCACCACTCACCCCATATTTTCCCCTCTCTCTTCCTCTCTATTTATCCCTCGTGTTTTCCTTCGTTCAAGAGATGCCGTAAAGGGTATACGATCCTCTTCTTTTTTCCTCCTTCCCTCCGCATGGATTTAATGACACCGAGCAGTGGTCGAAATTCTTCCTACAGCGGAACTTTGTTCCTGACAGCTGGTGCTAGATAGGCACACACAAGTCTCTGAAATTTTTTCTACCGTCTCGTATACAAAATACCCTGTTTTAATTAAACGTCCACGACATTCGATTAGAAATTACCACGATTATTCCATGAAAGCAGATCTACAGTCCTCTCTGTCCATTTATCTCGTCTCTCTCTCGGTTGAAGGTATATACTCGGTAAAGTCTGCACGATCCGAATCTCTCCTAGATAATAGATAGAGGCTCCTGAAAGCTTCTCTACATTTTAATATACGTATTTATCATTCCATGACAAGAGATAACACGTATCTCTCTTCTTTCTGCTTATCCCTCGTGTCTTCCTCGTATTTAATGACCCCGAGACTTCTGGACCAGGACTCCGTTCCCAGCAACTGTCACCAGGTATCCAAAATCCTGAAATTTTCCCTACGTTTTAACACGCGAGCTACCGTCTCCGTTTCCTTTTTATCGTTAAAAATTACGATTATTTAACTCCAAAGAAA